AAAACTCATTTGGTAAGTTACTGAAGGCAAAATTTCAAAAATAGTCCACTATGTTGGCCATTTTTCGATAAAAATTCATCATATAGGGTGTCATTAAGAATGTTCTACCAAGTTTCTACTTTCATCAAAATTCATACGAAAACCAAGATAGTGTACTAAAAGTAATCGCCATTTTTAGTGCACTATGTTGGATATTGTACGAGTTTTGATTAAAGTGACAACATAGTGTACCATTACTGATGACACCCTATATGATGGACCTTTTTTTCGAAAAATGGTCAACATAGTGGAATAAAAGTGAATTTAGCCAGTTAGTGAATGAATATCCATGATTGAACGAAACCAAACGTACTACAAGAGACATAATGACGATGCTGCCTTAGTATACGAAACAAAAGTGCAGTAGTGAACAAATCGTAGCCTTCATTTTCTAAGTCAAACTTTGTCAAGATATTTTCAAGTTGATCCTCAATCTGTTGATCAAAGTGGTATCCGACTCCCAACCGCTCAAGTGTGTCGATTAGTACTAGCCTCTCGCTCATTGTTTTCCCTTCAGCCATTGTTAACATGCTCCTTGCTTCTTCTTTGAGTTCCAAAATGGCTTCCGCGTACTTTTCCTGAACCTGCGTGTACGCGTTTTTTTGTTCATACGAAAATGATAGTAGAGATACTGTTGAATGCTCTCATCATGATCTCCTAAAGACTATAGTAATATAGTAAGGACATAGAAATATGAAGCATTGGAAACAACAGAAACTACAAAACTAAAAATTACAAATGAAAAATGGATAAAAATAACATACTTCTTGACTCGAGGAGTCAAGTTAGTCGACTCGTTTTTTACCCATAACACATACAGATAAGCATTTCTGCATTTGCATATACATATATATACCTGATGGTCCAAAGTAAAGGAGGAAAAAATATGATCCCACTTGCTTTCGGTAGAAAACACGACCGGCGGGCGGCCATTTGGCCAGCTTGGCGGGAAATCGAAAGTGGTCGGAGAAGCCATATTTTTATGAACAAAAAGGATGTAATTTCTTGCCAAATGAGTTAGCGGATGATTTTCTCAAGTGCCAAATGAGCACTTATTTATAGACTCCTCAGTGAACAAGAAATTTCCCTCTAATTGGGCCTGTGCTTACAAATTGATTCACTAATTAATAGTTTAATACATATTGAGTTGTACCTATCAGCTCCATAGGGAAAATGGGGATATAGGTGTAATAATTGAATTTGATGTGAAATAAATATAATAAAATATATAATTAATAATCATTGGTAATTATAAATTAATGTGTATGTGAATAAATGTTTGAAGTCAAAATTATAAATAGTTGTTCAACGGCAGATGGGAAGGCCTTTAGTCTAGTATTAGATGTTTTTCTCGTAGTTAATTTGTTTCGTTGTGGGTTGTGTATTTGTGTTTAGTGTTATTCTTCTCTTTCGGAGCGTGTACACGTATGAGAGGTTTTTAGTTCTATTTAGTGTGTGGGTTTCATGGCGGTGTTGGGTTTCACTCTCAGACGATGGCCGACGAAGGAGTTCATGTACATTACCTTTAATTAGTATAAAAATTAGTATTTTTTTTGAATCATTAGATCATATGATTTAATCGCTAAAATTTATTTTTATTTCTTTCATTGAATATTTTTCATTAGATCATATATATGTATATAGGGGATATAGGTCTGCAATAGCTAGTAGCCTAGTAGGTATGTAAACAAGTAAAAATTGTTTATTAAAGCAAGTCAATAACACTAATCCGTGTCATTTGATTTTATATATTGGGGGATGTACGTCTGCAATAGCTAGTTGGTATGTAAACAAGTATAAAAGCTGTTTATTTAAACAAGTCAATGACACTAGTCCGTGTCATTTGATCGGTACTTAACCTTTTATCTATACCTAGTGTGTACCCAAGCTACCGACGAGACACCTAAAGTCATATTTTAATTTGATGTAATTATATATACTAGCGCAATATGAAACATAAAGAGTATTTATAAGCTAAATTATAATAAATAATAAAAAATATAATTTGTATATTACTAAATAGTGGTTAATACAAATATATTGTCCTTTTATTTTTCAATGTCCTAAGATATATATTTTCCCCTTTTTGGTTAATCATCAAATTATTGCATCATAAAATAAGAAGTAATTGTTTTGATGCACGAGGAAATATTATAATAAAAGTCCATCATGTACATATTATATTATTTTTCGTTAATAATCAAAATAATTTTTCTATATAGTAATTTGTTTATAGAATTATTGCATCAGATATTATATAGTAATTGTTTTGATGCTCGATAAAATATTATAAACAAATGTCATGATGCACGAGAAAAAAATCTATATAAATATGCTTTTTCGTTTAACGAATTGCATTGCTATACAACGAAAATAGCCATCATGTACGTATTATATTATTTACACCGACCATGTAATGTAACATGTGTAAAAAATCTATATAAATATGCTTTTTTTTTAAGATTGTAAAATAATACAAAGTAAAAATATAATAATTAAATTTAAAGTGATACGAAGATATTAAAGTATTAGTTAGTAACGAGAGATGTTTAAGAATATATGAATAGGTAATATTAATTTTATTATAAAAGTTCCTGTAATGATAATTTATTGTTTTTTAAAATTTCAGTAGATTTATATTAGTTTTATCGAGTTATTTTACTTTTATCAGTGTTCATTTTAAGCTCAATCTAATTGCTGTTGTGTGCACAAATTTTACAAATCAGACTATTGATTCAATGTAACTGTGAAATTGCCGCATCACCTCTTCTCACTCCGGCGACGGCGAGGTTCGAACTCCAGGAGGCGGCGGAGCGTTCGGTGATGGCGTTTTTCGAAGATCTCCAACTACAACCGCAATACCTCCTCCCAACAATCGGCGGATGGAGGTCGCCGGAGATGATTAGGGGCAACGAAAGAGTCCTGTATTGCTAGGAATTGGAGGTTGGCTGCCGTTAGAATGTCACCGGAGACGAAAGGATATGGTCGGCGAAAGCATCAGTCGGAGGAGGTTACAGTAGATGATGGGCGGTGGCTATGGCTCGGCGCGGCGGCAGGCGGTGGTAAATATTGTTGTAGCAAATTATTTTATTTTTTTACCGAGTACCGAATCGAAGGATTCGTTCCCCGGGTCGATCTCTCGAGGAAGACGGTTCGGAATTTAGCGTTGGTCTTGATCACACACGAAAACAAAATAAGTCCTAAACACTCTAATCACGATTGATTTGGGGAATCAACTAAAACAAGCTAGAACTAGAAAAACAATTTAAAGAAATAACAATTAAATTTCTAGAGAAAAAGAATAAGGTCTAGGGGTCGGGAAATCTCATCAAGTCTTAAACTATGTTGAACGCTTATTTGTTCGGTTACGAGATTAAACAAGCCTACACGTCTAGAGGGCTATGCTCAATAACTCTTCGTAACAAGAGCACAAACATAAACGATAAACTCATTCAAACAAGCAACACATAGACAATACTTTTACGAACATGTCTACTCTATACGAGCCTAAATCGACCGACGTCTCCCCTCTCGGTTCTAAACGTCGATTAACTAGGTTAGAATGGTGATCAATCAACTAACCATATAATTCACACAACTCGTATAGATTGAACAAAACACATTCCTCATAATTCAAAACAAGAATCAAAATCCCTAACCCTAGGTGAATGGATTACCTCATGCTTAGATTCAATTTCAAGTTAACTGGAATTAAGAACATAAAACCAATCAACAATAATAAAATAGAATTGAAAAACTTACAATCGGATTAAGAGTTGAAAGATTTCAATCCAAATATCTTTGTGTCCAACAATCCAAGCATGAGAGGAAAAAAAAGAAAAAGAAAAGTGGAGAAATTTATCCTAATAATATTGAGTTTTTGGAGAGAAAAATTGAAAGGAACAATATTGGGGGTTGTTCCTTAGGTCTGAGGGGTCGTTTTGATATATAGTGCGCGAAAAACGGAGCTAAAACGAGTAAAAACGAGCAAAAATAAAAACAGGGTCGGCCCAGTCGCGAGTCGCGACTTTGCCTTCTCCTCGGTCGCGAGTCGTCATTTTTTTAATATTCTGGGGCTGGTCGCGACCCAAGTCGCGACCTCAACTCGCGAGTTGCGACTTCGACACGGAAGTGCTCCTTAAGCCTCAGTTTTTCTCGCGAGTCGCGACTTTTCTCTCGCGAGTCGCGACTTTGGACTGCATTGCGCAATTTTACGTTTTGGGCTCGTTTGGGCTGGTCCGAACTCGGAATTGAGTGCCGTTTTTTGCTATGCATCACCAACGAACCCCTCTATTAGAACATGCGCTCGAAACAAACTTTTTCTGAAGAGAAAATTCTCCCGAAGCTCCCGACCTACACACCAAAAACGGCAAAACACAAAAGAAAACCGGAAAAACAAACGAAAAACACCTAAAGACTCAAAATAAAGGAAAACACATAATAAAACACGAAATGGACTAAAAACTAAAGAAACGACCTAAAACGGGGGGAAAAGAAAGATAAAATAAACACGAAAAATGCAACAAAAATGGGACAAACAACTCCCCCACACTTAAACCTTTGTTCGTCCCAAACAAAAAGAAAAGAAAAGAAAAGAAACGATAAAAAAACTAAAACCGAGCATGGTCAACAGTCATTAACAAGATAGCCTCAACATGTTCAACTTCAACAATGAGCATTCAAATGGCATATACGAGCATCACACAACTACATGCTTGATCGCTACACCTCAAAATGGCGTTCTCTCAGTATGGGAATATATATGTGTGCCTCACTTGAATTCTTATACAGATAAAGATAGGTGCACTCAAATTAGTCGATAACAAGTTCAATCATATGCTTGCCCATTGTCTAACTTCTACTCTAAACCAATCAAAATAGAAACTAGTGAATCAAAAGGTCTTTCAAGGTTGTAACGTAGGCTCTTTGGTTAGGTAGGATAAATCTAGGATAAGTGGCTCGAATTCATTACATAACTCAAACACCTTATCCCAAGAATGATACACTCAACCGGTTGCACAAACATACCGGATCTTCCCCCACACTTTTTCTAAAACCACACGTTTCACCCATCTATTCATTTTTCTTTTTTTTTCTTTCGATTTTTTTTATGTGCGACCTTTTTTGGTTATTTTTTTTCTTTTTTTTTCTTTTTTGGATAAAGAACATAAACACAACTCCAACAAACAACTCCAACAACCATCCCCTCCAATTCTTAACCCGCAACTCCAAAAACGTCATCATCACGAGGTTATCAACAAAAATCAAATAAGGCTCAAAAGGGGAGACTAGGGAATAATCTATACTTATATTAAAGGGGGTACTATTTACCAAATTAAGTAGCCAGAAAAGTCAACAGCATTTATTGCATTACTATTTCCGTATTATATTATATAAAAGGATATTCTATTTACTATCCAAAAAAGTCAACTGCATTAAATGTCATTACTATTTTGGTATTATAATATTTTATTTATTTAATTAATTAATTTATTTGTTTTATTTTAAAAAGGTAAGTATAATAAAAAGATTTTAATAATAAAAAAATCAAATACCAAATAAAAATGTACACTTTGACTTATTTGCTTATATTTGGTATTTGATTATACCAAATATATTCCTATTTAGTATATACATTAAATACTTACTAAAGTATTT